GGATAGGATGCGGGCGAAGGACGAGGTGGTTAGCCATGCAGGGTATACCATTGTGAGGCATGCCCTGGAGGTATGTGAAATAATTAGATTGTACTTCGATTGTATATTTGAGTTGTGTGTCTTGTGCGTGATGTCTGACTTCTGATTGCATTGTAGAGTGCGAGCTGGACAAACGCTCTAGCACAGGAGTATGCAGAGAGCGTTAGAGACCGTGCCAGCTTGCAAAGGCAGTGTGACCAGCTCCAGAGGGAGAAGGATGAGCTGCAGAAGAGGAAGGTGGAATGGGAGAAGCAGAAGAAGGAGATGCAGAGGAGGCTGGATGAAGTTCTCCCTTCAGTGACCGAGCTCCAGAACGAAAATGATGTCCTGAGCACGAAGCTCGGCCTCGAAGAACGTAAAAGGAAGATCTGCGAGGAGAAGCTCGAGGCTTAGGACAAATATATGGACAAGATGAAGAGCGCAGCCGCGGAGTTGAAGAAGAACGTGAACCTGCTGGTTCACAACGGGATGGAGGAGCACATTGGCAACTTCCTCAACTCCAGCACTTTCGAGGACCTCCTCAAACTCTACCGGCTGCCAACCGCGATCGTGGCCTTCACTGACTGTAGAAAGAAAGTGAAGGCTCAGTACCCAGAGGTGGACGTGACAACAGTCACCTTTGGGGAACAAGAAGAAGGGGTGGAGGAAGATGGGGAGAGCCTCTGTGCTGACTTCCGACCTCAGATCACGCTGAGGTGGGAGCGTGATGTAGAGGGGCGCACGATCTTTCCCCCAGCGTTTGACGCTGAGTTGGTGGCCGTGGAGGGAGAAGAAGAAGGAGAAAAAGAAGAAGAAGAAGGTGCGCAAGGCACTGGAGTTGAGGATCAAGCAGCAATGGCCGAAGTGCAGCCTCTCGAAGTGTAGCCAGTCTCCTCTGACGAGGTGCAGCTGCTACCTCTACCACCTCTTCCTGAAGCAGAAGTGCCAGTCCTGCCTGTTGGAGACGAGCCACCTCTACCACCTCTTCCTGTTGAGGAGCAGCCTCCTCCTCCAACAGAGTAGCTTAGGTTTTTATTTTGTTAGTTATATTTGTAAATAACATTTGTTGAGATTTTATAAAATTTTTAAAGTTTTACTCTTGGCCTTGAGTTTTGGTTTCGAATTGCTGGTTTACTTTAAGTGAATGACTTCGGACAAAATAGAGTAGCTTTATTTAACAAAGGTTTTGACCTCGGAATTAACCTTGGATATATAAGAGGCGTCCTTCAAATCACTTCAAAAGTAAGTGTAATAAAATCATAATCCAACAAATGAGGTGACTGAATAAGTCCTAATGAAAGGACTGAATCACTTCGAATGTGAAGTGAAGTTTATTAATGATGTGAAGTAATTGAGTTCGGTCTCAAATGGAAGAACAATGAATAAACATGAGCCAAAGTTTACTAGAACTAGATGCATTAAGGGTAAAATTTCTTCAAATTATTGACGTTCCAGACTCTAGGAACCCTCTTTCCTTTAGTATCCCGTAGGATATAAGCACCTGGGTGTGGCACTTCGGCGACAGTGTAGGGTCCTTCCCAGTTCGGCGCCAACTTGCCAAATCGAGTTTCGAACCCGGTCAGACCAGCTTTCCTGAGGACAAGGTCTCCTAGTTTGAATGTTCGGGGTCGAACTCGTTTGTTGTAGAAGTTTGCTATTTTCTGCTTGTAGACTAGAGTCCGAAGTCGTGCTTCTTCTCTGAGGTCATCAAGTAGATCAAGGCTCTCCCGAAGCAGTTGTCCATTCTGTCCTTCATCGAAATGGGTGACTCTGAGGCTTGGAACTCCTATCTCGACAGGAATGACTGCTTCGGTTCCAAAGGCCAGATGATAGGGTGTTTCACCTATTTTAGTGGATTATATCTTTAGAATGCACTTTACACGTTATGCATAGTTGTTCTAAGGTAAAATTGTAGCAGAAGAAGTAAAGCAATATAAAATTAACCGAATAGGCCCGGTGTAGAGTAATACCTGTGGCAGTTCGACTCGTAGTTCTGTATGCCCAGAGGACGTTGTTGATCTCGTCCGCCCATTTGGCCTTGTGTTGTTCCAGCCTCGGCTTTATACCTTCTAAGATGCATTTGTTAACAGATTCGACCATGCCATTGGACTCTGGATGGTAAACCGAGGTGAACTGTAGTTTAATCCCATAGCTGGAACAGAAATCTCGAAAAGAGGTGCAGTTAAATTGAGTTCCGTTATCAGCCACAATCTGATTCAGGATCCCATATCTACAGATAATGGAGCTGAAAACAAAGTCTTCAACCTTCTTAGAAGTAAGACTGGATAACGGCCGAGCTTCAACCCATTTTGTGAAATAATCTACACCAACAATTAAGTGGGTTACACCACCAACCCCTTTTATGAATGGTCCCAGAAGATCCAACCCCCACTGAGCAAATGGCCATGGTGCTACCAGAGTAGTGAGCTCTTCTGCAGGCTGGTGAGTCAGGTGCGCAAAGAACTGGCATTTCAGACATCTCTGAACAAAGAGGGTGGCATCCTTGTACATGTTTGGCCAGTAATAACCCTGTCTAAGGACTTTATGAGCCAAAGTTCGGGCACCTATGTGACTTCCACAGACACCTTCATGTACCTCCCTGAGTGCATATTCTGCTTCATAGGGATTTAAGCACTGTAGAAGAGGTAGAGAGAAAGATCGCTTATAGAGAACCCCATCAACAAGTGTATACCGGGATGCTTTCCTCCTCAACTTCATTGCCTCCTGCCTGTCCTCAGGTACTATCCCATCTCGTAAGAACGAAAGGATTGGGTCCGTCCAGCTCGGTGTGCCTGGGTTGGTGCTGATCTCCATCACTCGCGGCTTCACGAAGCTTGGTTCATCTAAGACCTCCACAAAGACTGATCTGGAATGTGAAGAACTATCAGAGGCGATTTTAGAGAGTGAATCCGCCTGTTCATTCTCAGTTCGGGGAATTTTGCTCAAACAGAATTTCTGGAATTTGCACTTCAGCTCCGCCACCAGAGCTACATATTTCACCATCACAGGATCAACAACTTCGCAAATTGAGTTAATTTGGTTCACCACCAGATGGGAGTCACTGTATACTTGGATCGCACTGAGTTTTAATTCCAAGGCTAGCTGCAGACCCA